CTGTGCTAATCAGAGCTGTGTTCTTGAAAGCCGGCTCATGGTTTGGGGTTTAGATCGGTTTAAGGTTTAGGCATATAGCTGTGTCCTGGAAATTAGCCTCCGTGATTTGTAGAGGGAACCCGAACCGGGTTGAACATCACCACTTGCTGGTAAGCCACCATATATATATATATCCTCCCCTCCCTAAACCCTAAACCCTAAACCAAGTACATGTGATCCAGCGCCATACCGATTCGGGCGAGAGTTTTGCTGGAAAGCAGGGAGTTCACTTCGATGCAACATGCCTTTGGCCATGCCGCGGGACTTTGCAAAAGGGGGTTTAGGGCTTAGGGTTTAAGGGCATTGTTGGTGTCCACATCCTGCATGTTCTCTTGCTATGAGTGAAGCGGCTTAAGGCTTTACCGCACATCAATCATCAAGAACCCCCTAGGTTCTGGGCTTGCAAAGTTCAGGAAGTTGACTCTAAATCCTAAACCCTAAGAATACGAGCCAGACATCATGACATCTCCGGACACCGCGAGCTCTGAGAATGCGTCGTCAAGAAGCCTTCCAGCCCTTATCTAAAGTTAAGCAGAGCATAAAGCGATTGTTGTTTCCTTGGGGTTCAGGAACCTGCGTAAACATATGATCTTCAACTCAAAACTCCTCTAAACCCTACACCCTAAACCCGTAAAAGCCTAAGTCTCAAGTCGAGGGTGGCTGATTCAGTGGGGCTCAAGAGCTCCATCCTGTTCTCCTTGTTCCTGGAAGACGCTACCCACTGCTGCATGTGAGTGGATATCTGCTGAAGCCGGGATCCAAATCAGCTCAGAAGATAGCTGGATTGAGAAGATGCAACAGAAGAAGAGCCGGGTTGATCTCCACCTGGCTGTCGCTTGAGTGGAGGTGGTTGTGGAATCAACTCCTGCATCCGAGTCCTAGTAATGGACCCGATCCCTTGGCGTGCAGGTTTGGGCTTTAGAAAGCCCCATTTCGCGTGCCAACCAGACCCTAAACCTAGCAAGGGTAAGACTTCCGAAGCTAGAAGCGTGAAGCCAAAGCCCCTGAACCCTAAGCCCTAAAACCCAAAACCGCTAAACCCTTAAAACTTAAATTGCGGCTCGGCTTTGCAAGTTCGGTATTCGAAGGATGGTCCTTTTCTGTGTAAAAGCAGTGGTCTGATAGCACCGGAGCTTGAGCCGTTGTCAGTGGAGGTTCAGGGCTTAGGGTTTAGGGTTTAGGGTGTAATTATCGGATGTATGTGTCAGGGCCTCTGAGAGACTGAAGCTACACAGCAACATCCACAAGCCTAGGGTGTTGGTGTGGGGACTGGAAGCCGCTCTCAGGCAAATCGATCATCCGTGCATTGACAGAGCCCAGTAGAAATGCAAAGGTTGGGAATCCAAGCAAGTTGAATCACGGAAAAGCCTGACCTAAACTCGATTCCAGGTTCGTTTCTCTATCGGTTGAGGCCACCAGCCCATCGACCCTCCCCAACAAAGAAAAAAACAGCGCACACACACACACAGAGGCAGTAATGGACCCAGAATTCTCTTGGAACATCCTGGAGACGCGTTAAAACCAAGTCAAGGCCATGTATGATCAATCCTGGGGCCTCAACGCTAGAGCAGCAGCGGTAATAGTCCTAGGAGCCCAATAGGTAAACTGTAAACTTTTTGGTATATTAAACCCCTACTAAAAGAAAAGTTTAAACTTTTTTGGGCCAGGGTACTGGGCAGCTTATAAGCAGTCATAACAGCAGGATGCTTAGGATTCAGGCCGTACACCTGAACGAAGATCTGAACAGTCACGATCATATTAAGACCCACAACACGTAGAGTTTTAGCAGTATCGGTGTCAACAGCTTGTTTTCAAATCTTTAGTCCCTCAGACCTAATTATTCTACAGGCCACACACGTCCCTTAAAACCCGAAGCATCGAAACACTAAACCCCGAAAAGCCCAAATCTGCTAGGCGCAACACGGACAGCTTCATCTAACCTGCTAAGCCAAGGGCAGTGCTGGCCTAAGGAGTTGAAATCTCGCGGCTTTGAAGCTTTACCTATAGTCTCTATTGCAGTTCCTTTTTTGGGTTACCTTCTAGGATCCTACATCTAAAACTGGTTAAACCAAAAGAAGGAACTGCAATGGATACCATGGGCGGTTTTTTTTTTTTAAGGGTTCGAACTTCGAACCCGAAGGTCCGAGGTATTAGTATGGGGCGGGGCGGAGGGTGTACTTTCCCGAATCAAAAATAAAAAAATGTGGGTGCACTTTCCCCAAATCAACGTAAGTGTTTCTAATATAGGAACCCGGGTGTGAAGGCTGCGAAGATTTGTGTTGGTTGTTGCGGGCATTTTGTGTTCAAGGCCTTTAGCTGGCGGCCGAAGATGTAGGGTTTACGTGAGAGCCCCTTGTGAGTTTAGAGTTTAGGATTTAGGGTAGTTTATATAATGTATACACACACATATATATATATACACACACACTGATGTTTAATCTATATACAAATCGAACAGTACAGGAGTAAGGCATGTTGTATGCATATGTATAAATAAATAAATATATATATATATGTATGTATGTATGTATGTATGTATGTATGAATGTATGCATGCATGCATGCATGCATGCATGGATGGATGGATGGATGGATGGATGGATGGATGGATGTATGTATGTATACATATACACATATATATATATGTATCTGCATCATCGTGCAGGGTGCAGTTCACGCTTGAGTAGCGAGTGTTTGTGGATTTCTTTAGTAATCAAGTCTTCTCTGACTGGTTGTCTTGGCTTTTTTGCCAGACAGCTTTCAAGTACCGTCTCCTCTGCTTGTTGGCTAGGTGTCCAAGGAGAAGTTTCAAGTGAAATTGACTTCAGAGGCTTGCGGCCAACAGATTCCGGAAATGTCTGGGAGTTTTGAGAGACCACGCATGAAAGCCTTGAGCACAAGATTTGCAGGGCTGCAAGAACATCGGGACAGCCTGAAAGGCAAAAACACACCTGTCATGGGTGCTTCGCATGTTGCCTAACCGGATTCCATAGATTACGGGCTTGTCGCTTTGACCAAAAACTACTTTTGGCGAGTTTGGTGGTGATACCTGCTCGCATTGAGGTCCAGCACGAACAGCATGGACTGTTATGCTATGGGACGCCTCCTGGGACGCGGTGCTTTTGGCAAGGCTGGGGCTGCCAGCTCGGATTGTTTCCGGAGTTTAGGGTTTAGGTTTAGAGTTCATGCTAGGGTTACTGTGAGTTAGAAGGTTTACATGCGGATTTCTATGAGGTTTTGATAGAGAGGTAGGAAGATTTAGTCAGTAATGTCCACTTATAGTCCTGGTTAGGCACCTCTATGTACGAGGATGCTAACTGCCAAATCTGGTTGTCCAAGAGAAAGGAACTATATTGTGGAGTATAGCTGGGCTCTCCGCAGATAGGGCTGGAGAGGCTTATCTTGGTGCCAGAGCCGATTCTAGCCCACGAACTCAAATCCTTAACTTCAATCTCTAGTTCAAGCCTTAAGAGTCTTAAGAGTGTCTGTGTAGTCTAGAGCTTTGGTTTTCATTCAATCTTCAGAGAGAGCCTTTATATATGGATTGCTGCTGTATTCCGGGATGATTTGCATCATGAAGGTTCGGGTTTCAGTGTAGTCGTGGGGTATTGCCATGGGAGCCGGAGATTGGCAAGAGATCTACATCGTGAACTGTACTCGGAGCTCTACACCACAGTCAGACGCAAAATCAAGAGGCAAGGTCCCTCATCGGGACATCATGTGCAGCCTATCAGGATTGCAAGGCTGTCGCTTCTTTGGAGTGTCGGGTCGAAGCGTTGAGCCCTAATGAAACAAATCCACTTACTAGCTGAATAGTTGCAAATTGCACTTTTTTGGAACCAGGCTTTCTATAAAACTGAAAGTTTACAATTTTGTTGGGCATGTTGAACTCTGCTGCGAAGTTGGTCCTGAGTCCCTTGCAAACAACGACCAAGCTCGTTTAATACCTGCATGTAACATAGGGGTCGGAACAAAAACCAATTCTTTTCCTTAGGGTTCCTTAGTATGGTTAGGGTTTAGTAGGGTTTAGGGTCCAGGGGTTAAATTTAGAGTTTAGGGTTATATGCTATACCACACCCCCCAAAATCCTTATTCTAGGTATTAAAGCCCCTGCATTAAGCAGATCAAAACAAGTGGCAGGTGAACGTCGCAGTGCACAAGCTGACAGAGGTGGGCCCAGAGTCGATGTCGCAAGGAACAATCGGTTCGCGCATGTATATACACATACAGATACATATATATATATATATACATACATACATACATACATACATACATACATACATACATACATACATATACACATATATGTGTGTATATGTATGTATGTATGTATGTATGTATGTATGTATGTATGTATATATATATGTATATATGCATATACATATGCATTTACAGATACAGAAGTATCTGTATATATATATGTACACATATATATATATATATCATATCCATTTATATATATATATGTGGATATGATATATATATATACATATATATATATATATGTGCATATGCAGATATACATATATGCAGATTTATATCCCAACTCTCCTTCGCTGTCTCCTCTCTCTTGCTCTCTCGCTCTCTCTCTCTCCATGGCCCCGCCCACCCCATGAGTTTTGGAGCTTCCGCAATTCAAGCTTAGTTGGCCTTGCCTACGTTAGGGGCCTGGGTTTTCGCCTCAAGACCGTGATGTCAGAGAAGAAATTATTCCAGTTCATGGTACCCCAAAACCTAGTGGTAGCACACACCCTAAACCTCATACTGTTCCGTAGCATTCCCAAACCTTAGGATAGCCAATAGGTGTACTTTACACTTTTTGGGCTCATATATTTAGTCGACCTTGGAAAGATTGAACTTTTCTGGGCCCGGTTATTGAAGAAGAGAGAAACAGTTAAACCCTAAACCCCAAAGCCCCTAAACAGGGGCGACGCACGTCTCTTCAGGAGCTGTCGGCCATGAAGCAGTGCGACCGGAGGAGGCTTGCTGAGGCCAGCTACCCTGAAAACACGGTTTAGGATTTAGGGCCTAAGGTTTACCTATAGTCTCCATTGTAGTTCCTTTTTTTGGTTACTTTAAAGGATCCTAAGCATAAAACTACAAGCGAGACTATTGTACATCCTAGCCTGAGCGACCTAAACCCTCTGAGCGCTACGCATCCCTGGTTCTGAATCTTCACCCTTGAAGATTGCCCAATGCCAAATGACAAACCCTGAAGCCTTAACTAACTAACCCGTAGAGACCCTCCTGGACCCTAAAGAACTTACCTTTTTAGGGGCTCCTTACTACGATTTCCTTATATACATCCTTAAGAACGTAGGTTATTTCGGGTTGCGGTAGACCCTACAGCTTGCCACAGGTGGGCAACCGAAAGTGCCTCCAGCAAGAGGCCGGCCGGCGTCAAACATCGCTTCCCAGCTCTAGGTTTTGCAGGGATCTTAGGGTTTAGGAAGTTTAGGGTGTAGGGTTTAGGGGCGTATATAAACTCAACCCAAACTTGAAGCCGTGACCCCTGCGGAAATTCAGGGTTAAGTTTTGAGTGAGCGCCAGGGCTTAAACCCTGACCTCAGCGGAGTTTCAGGGTTTAGTCTTGAGTCGCTGCCTTGGTTTAGTCCCTGACACCCCTAAACCCTAAACCCTAAACCCTAACCCCTAAACCCTAACCCCTAAACCCTAAACCCTAAACCCTAAGTTAAGCCCTCTTCGAGATCGATCTGAGTCGATCTCAGGCCGTTTTTCAGTCTACTGGAAGCGCCACCAGTCCCCAGCTAAACCAAGACATCCCCATGGAAACCCCCAAAACAGACGGCTGCCAAACCGGCTGAGACGAAACCCTAAGATCTTATAAGCCCTGGATTCTTTACCGGTCGAGTCCCCAAACCCTAAAACCTAAGCCCTAAACCCTAAAACCTACGCCCTGAATTCAAAACCGGTCTAGGTGACCCTCAGCCTTAAACCCTACGCCCTCAAATCTAAAGCCTGTCGAGGTGACGATTATGAAGCGTCTTACTGGCCACGCCAACATCATCCAGCTCTTTGAGGAGGGATATGTGAGGTTTAGGTTTTTGGCTTTTGTTTTTGGGTTTGGGGATGAGTTTAATGTTTAGGGTTTGGGGGGTTTTGGGGGGCGCCGAGCCTGACCCTGAACAGGCTCCATGCACTCAAATACTTTATACTTAGGCGTGTCAAGGGCTTCGGTTTAATTAGGTCCTTGGCACCAGGTATACGGCATAATATATAGGCGCATGCGCCCTTACCCTTAGCGGCTCAAAAAAGGAGTTGGAGATGTATGTTTCAGGAGAGGTTGTCGTTGAAGGTTTACTTGGATCACGAAAAACCAACCTCTTCGGGGCTCCTTACTGTTATTTCTTTATATATAAAAGTCCAAAAAAAAGTAGGTTAGGTTACTTGGGGTTAAGGTAGTGCTTAGGATTTGTGGCTGCGGCCCTGAAGTTGAGAGCGATGTGGGAGTTTCCGAAAGTAAGGGGTACCTTATTTTGGGGTCCTTATAATCAGGATCCTACTATTTAGGGTACTATGTTAGGGTTTAGGATTTTCGGAAGCCCCATGTGCCAAGAGAACTGCTTCAAAACCGAGCCCAAAAACTCGAAGCTTAAGGGTTTTTGGGGCTTCGGGGTTTCAGCCTCAAGCTTCAAGCCCCGGAAGCTCGTGACTCAACGCTAGGGGGCCTGAAGTACGCCTCCGAGCAGAGATTCTTATGGAATTCGCCAGCTTTCACGTGGATTCCACGCTCGGTTGGTTCAATGTTGGCTGCCGATCTTTCCAACTTACCGGTTTGGAAGGTCTGGCTCGTGGAAGGGCTGTTGACTGTTGAATCATTAACCGGTTTGGGGTGTACCTTGACCCCAAAGAACCTACCTTTTTAAGGACTTACATAAAGAAACTATACTAAGGAACCCTAAAAAGGTCGGTTCTTTAGGGTCCAGGTAGGGTTTAGGCTTTTCGGCCCCAGTCGGTGCGAGTGGGCATGTCCCATTTCGCCAGGAAGAGACTGGGAAGCTGAGCCGAAAGATTTGTCTAATCCCTTCTTCCCTTATAGTAGCCCTTGTAGTAAACCTTAGAGCAACCCCACAGAGTAACCAGCCCGTCCAGTTAGACTCAGAGTAGCAGTAGTACACCATCTTTCCGGGATTACCCTGAACCCTAAACTTGTTTAGCTAGCCTGAGCCCGAGGATACACACATTCGTGAACCTGTGCTCTGCCTCCCAAGGCCAAAGAACCCCCAAATTTCGGGTTTAGCGTTTAGGGTTTAGGATTTAGGGTTTAGGGTTTAGGTTTTAGGGCTTAGGGCTTGCGGTTTAGGGATTTAGGGTAGCATCCCCAGCTCTGAGCTTCATTGAATTCTGTGTGGCGCTGCGAAGTAAAGTACCAGTATGCACAGCACTGTTGCTTATGAAAGAAGGGCAACAACCTCAGCCGCCCCTGCCACGGCTAATGATCGGAATGCCCGAAATTCTCAGAAATCCACTCAGCAGCTGCGAGGTCGTGGAAACGCCCTCGCAGATAGTGCTCGTCATGGAGGCCCCCATCTTCGATTGGCCCCTGGGTGTGTGCATGGCGGGGTCAAGCTCAACACCCGGACCGTGGACCGACTCAACTACGTAGTACTGTACTTAGAGTAGGCTCCAAATCCCAAATCTCCCTTCCGAATACCCGCCATACTACATGGGTAGTTGTCTAAAGTAGGGTCCCTTTTTAAGGTCCCCAACATAGTGAGGCACCCTTATAAACGGGACCCCCAAAGGACGCTAATTTAGAGAACGACCGGCACTCCAAGCCCAACAACCCAACAAAACTCTAAATCTCAAGCGCCACAAAATCATGAACCCCGCAATCCTCGACCAGAAACTCCTCGAACCCTCAGCCGCCTTGGCCCTAACGGCAAGATCCCTAAAATTCCATACGCCCATGTAGCACATGTAGTTTGGTCCGACGAAGTACCTCTGTAGGAACCCGTGGAAGGCCAAAATAGAACCTTGCAAAGTCTACACAGACGCTGTAGGAATCGTAGTTACGATGGACCCATTTAAATAGTCTGCACCACAGACCTCATGGTACGCTGAGAGACCTCATAAGCCCTTGCAAAACTCTTACAAAGTGCTTCTAGTTTAACACTTAACCCCACAGCCTAAACCCAAAGCAAATCCTGCAGAATACTTAAACCCTGACCAACACTCTCCCTAAACCAAAAACCCAAACCCAAAACCTAAACCCCAAGCCTTAAACCCCAGACCCCTAACCCCTAACCCAAAACACTCGAAAGCCCATGGACCCTGTACTCCCTGTTTCTTAGTAGGGAATGGAGGAATGGATCCCTAGGATAGTCCCTTAAGGTCCCCCTATAGTAGTCCCAAAACCCATTCCTCCATTCCCTACTAAGAACCAGTCAGATAACTACCCAACCCCTAATCCCTATAGAACCTTTAAAGGAACCCTATAACCCCATTTATAACCCAGTTTAAGCTCTCCGCAGTTTGCCAATGGCGGCGACCTCCTGCGCTACGTGAGGACGCAACGCCGCCTCCAGGAGCCTTGCGCGAAGGAGCGGCGGGTTTAAGGTCCTTTAGGGTTTAGGGGTTTAGGGTTTAGGGGTTTGGGGGTTCAGGGGTTTAGGGCTTTAGGGTTTAGGGTTTAGGGAATTGGGGGTTGAGAGTTTAGGGGTTTAGGGTTAGGGGTTAGGGGTTTAGGGGTTTGGGGCTTAGGGTGTAGTTTAAGGTCCTTTTTACGGGTTCCTTTGACGAGTTCCTCTACAGGGGGTGCTAAAGGGTCTTAAGTGTACTAAAGGGTTCCAAAATAGGGTCTCCATAAAGTGTACTATGGTGTTTTAAAATAGGGTGCCCTGTAAGGGTTAATAGGGTTTTGGGTCTTTGAAGAGTTCCTTTGACGGTTCCTGCAAGGGCTATGTAGGGTTTAGGGTCTTTTGAGGGTTC